ATTCTCCTGCCTCAGCCTCCCAAGTAGGTAGTTTGGACTACAGGTGTGCACCACCACGCCCAGCTGCTTTTTTGTCTTTTAGTAGAGACGGGGTTTCACCATGTTGGCCAGGATGGTCTCGATCTCCAGACCTCATGATCCACCCACCTCGGCCTCCCAAAGTGCTGGGATTACAGGCGTGAGCCACCGCGCCCGGCCTCTGTAAGTAATTTTTATAAACAACTTTACATGAAAGATCGCTATGTGATTGTGATTTTTTTGGCTTATAACTGGGAAGGAATTTAAAGAATTGAGTGACATTCCTCCAACAAAATTTCCCTTCCCATCTACTTATTTATGTAAGGTTTCATAGCACTTACATCATTAAAATGAAAAACAGGAATAGAATCTGTTCTGAATGTTATCACATTCAAATTACAAGTATGTTCATCCACTAACATGCAAGCCAATAATAAAAACTGTATCTCAGTCCAGAAAAAAATCTAATGCTCAGAGGCCTATAATTTTTTTAAAAAAGCTATCAATTTATATGCATACTTTTGTTGCAAAAAAATGATAGGACAATCAATAAAAGGCTTTCATGCATAAAGATATATTGGGGAAATGAATCGAATGGAAATTGGAAACCACGTAGAAAAAGGGATTTAATTTCTGACAAACAAAAGTGGCTTGGCATGAATTTTTTAAAAATTAGAGACCAGGTCTCACTGTTGTTCAAGGCTGGTCTTGAACTCCTGAACTCCAGCAATCCTCCAGCTTCAGCCTCCCAAAGTGCTGGGATTACAGGTGTGAGCCACTATGCCCAGCCAATGTCATCTTTAATTGCACGATTTGAGTATTAAAGTATCAAAAAGGTCAACATATGAGCAACTATATCCTTTGCAACTATTTAAATTTGTGACTAAAAATTTAGATGTGGCCAGGTGTGGTGGCTCATGCTCATAGTCCCAGCTCCTCAGGAGGCTGAGGCCAGAGGATCCCTTGAGCTCAGGAGTTTGAGGCTGCAGTGAGCCATGACTGCGCCACTGCATTCCAGCCTAGGCGACAGAGCAAGACTCCATCTCTACATTACAAAAAATAAAAACAAAAAAACGATGTCAGCTTAAAACTAGGCCAAGGGATATGTAGTTTAGAAAACTGCATTTAGCGGTATGGAGCAGAACATGTGAAAATGACTGATCTACTACCCAGCCATCCGACACCACTGTCTCCCTCTGCACATCTAACAGGTGCTCTGACCCCCTGGGCCCCACACAGAGCTCCTGTTGGTGTCCCCGGTCTACTCTTCTCCCAATCTTGTCAATCTCAAGAGGTGACACCACCTTCCCCCAGGTGCTGCTGCCCACATTCGAGTGCCAACCTTGGTTCTTGCCCTGACACCTGCTGCTGGCATCCTGCTGGCTCTCCTGATAAGGCAATATATGACAAGTCTGCTTTTCTCTGACTCCACAGCTACTGCCCTGGTCCAAGCCACCCTCTCCTTTCCCTCCCTTTCCTGAATGAAGCCATTCTCCACTATTCAGAGTTTCGGAAAATGCAGGCTGCTGCTCTCCTGCTTAAAGCCCTCCAGTGGCTTCCCAGCAAACTGCAAGAGAAGCAGAGATGCTGAACAGCGCCCCTCGAAGGCCCCGTGTGACCTGGCCCTGGAGACCTTTCTGCATTCACCATGCTTCTGCCATCTGGCTTTCCCTCTGCTCCCTAAACATCCCAAGCCTGGGCCTGCCTCCAGATGGCCATGGCCCCTGCTTGGGATGCGGTCTCCCACATCTGTGCACAGCTGACTCCTCATCACCTGAGATGCAGCTTAAGTATCACCTGTGCTGAGAGGCTGTCCCTGATCGGCCCCTGGTCAAGCTCTTACACTGTAGCCACCTCTTTCAGCATGGCACTACATAACACCTGCTCGCCTCTTCTTCACAATTTTTTCAAACTGTGAGAACATGTCAGCAGGCACAGAGTAGACTACATGGCTGTGCACTGAGAGCATCAGTGAGGCAGGGAGCCAGCTTTCTGATAGGAGCATCAATCTGGAAAATTATAGATTGCATTGTTTTCCGTTCAAAATGAAAACAGCTTAACGAGCCAGGCTCGGGGGCTCACGCCTGTAATCCCGGCACTTTGGGAGGCCGAGATAGGTGGGTCACGTGAGGTCAGGAGTTTGAGACCAGCCTGACCAAAGCAGTGAATCCCCGTCTCCACTAAAAACACAAAAATTAGTGCGTGGTGGCGCACGTCTGTAATCCCAACTACTTGGGAGGGTGAGGCAAGGGAATCGCCTGAACCTGGGAGGCAGAGGTTGCAGTGAGCCGAGATTGTGCCACTGCACTCCAGCCTTGGCGACAGTGCTGGACAACTGGTCTGGCAGAGTGTGGGGGAGCATGGGGAGCTGGCTGGGAGCACATCTCAACAGGGCTGCTGTCTGACTTCAGTCAACTGGCATCAGGAGGGAATGCCACCCTGTGGTGGAACTTCTTCCCATTTTTCAACAGAATCCAGAAATGTGTATTCTAATAAGATCTCCTGATTCTTTTTCTTTTTTGAGAGGGGGTCTTGCTGTCTAACAGGCTGGAATGCAGCAGTACACAGCAGCCTCAAAGTCCTGGTATCAAGCATCCTCCTGCCTCAGTGTCCCGAGTAGCTGGGACTGCAGGCTTGTGCAATCACACCTGTAATCTCCTGATTTTTAAATGCCGACAACTAATTTAAAAAAAATTTTAAATACTACTTATTCCAATTAAACTTATTGTAAATAAGTCCAGCTGGCCTGTGGTTTTCTGGCTAGAATCACTGAGGTACCCAGTGCTTTTCTGGCCTCTGCATCATGATGGCGGGAGACGGGCATCATCTTCTATGATGCACAGAGCTTCAGCATTCAAAGGGCTCACTGGCATTAACTCCTTCCTCTCGAGAGGGGTGTGCTTGTGTGCGTGTGCTTCAGATACTCCTTGCATTAGTATCACTCTGGGGAGAGACTGAGGCACAGATAAGCAGAATGGCTTCGCCTAAGGCACCAGCTCTAAGTATTGTTACTTTTGTGACTGTAGTGAGTGCAATATTTGCATCTCTATCATGTATGAGGCCCCTTTACGGTGAAGAGAAAACACCCTGCATTCTCTGTGGCTCCTCAACTGATGTGCCTCCGGGTGGTGGTAGAATTGGGCAGAGGGAGCTACTAGGGAGCCTGGGATGCTTCAGGCCCAGAGCCCTGGCTTCAGATGGCTCTAGGCTCAGAGGACCCACTATCTGTGGCCTTGGGCCTGCTGCCCTCAGCCAACTTTGAAAGGGTGCTCACAGATGAGTAGTCTATTCCGGCTCTCCTAGCACACCTAGAAGCCACCTTTCAGACTCTACCTGGCTACCTGCCTCCTGTTTCCCTGGAGATTTTTTCCCAGTCCTTTTGCTTTCAGAAATTGAAAGAAAAACTAGCACAGGCTGGGCCTCCTGTGTCCAGTGGGCCATGAATTATGAGAATCCCCAAGAGACACTACACACTCACCATGTTTTGTTCAGCCATAAAGCACTCGATGAAACGCTCAGGGTACTCTTTGTTGAATATCTCAGAAAAGGTAGAGTACTTGGTGTCGCCATCCAGCACAATGACTCTGTCGTTTGCATCGCCCAGCTTAGCCAGAGCCAAGCCACATGCTTTCCGAGTAGCTATCTAGAAGAAATAAAGAATCAGGTGGTAGAGTTTCTTCAAATGCATTTAGAAGGAATGACTACAGAAGGAAGGTACCATATTGTAGAATGACAAATTGTCATCTCTCTTGGAGAAAGTAGATTTGTGATTCACCAAAAATTTCCTTTAATGTCATAAACATGGATTGTTAGTCAATCTTAAACCCATGCTAAACGGCTGATGTGGCAAGCAGTTTTTCTCAAAGTGTGCTCTTTTTAGTTACCCCCATCCCAGGCCCCCACTTCTCAAGCAGGCGAATGCTCCACAGCTCTAGAGTGAGATTTCTGACATTACTAGTTCTTAGCATATTTTTCAAATTACTTGACTAGGCACTGTGCGACCCCTGGTTGTGGGACCCCAACCCACGGAGGCAGGCCCCCAGTAGACATGAGGCAGGACGCGTGGTGGCTGGTACCGACTTTATTGGGATCTCCGGGCGACTCAGGCGGACGGGGATGAATCGCGCGCGCTTTCTTTGTTCGGTTGACTTTATAGGGACAGAGGGCCTGGGGCGGTAGGAGAGCTGACCTGGCAGGTAGTAATTGGCTAGGTTGATTGCTG